TTCCGAGTTATGCGACTGGTCAAGCTGCTCAGTAAGGGTGAAGGCATTCGAATCCTCCTTTGGACGTTTGTTAAATCTCTACAGGTGAGAAATTTAGGAAACAAACAAGCTAAACTATCTTTCTCAGTTATTTTATATATCATGCATCATTTGTTCCTGTCTCTCTGCTTACCTTTAGGCATTGCCATATGTTGGCTTACTCATTGCCATGATCTTTTTCATCTATGGTGTGATTGGGATGCAGGTGGGTTCTTCTTTATACATTTGTTTATGTTCATTCTCTCCCTCTCCTCACATGAGGAACATTCCAGATTGGGATGTTTAAACTTTCTTTTCTGTTTTTTTTTCCAGACATTTGGGAAGATAGCAATAGATGACAGCACAGAGCTCAATCGAAACAACAATTTCCAAACCTTTTTCATGGCTGTACTGTTGCTCTTCAGGTGAGCATAGACCAGCATTAGCCTCCTGGTTGATTTCTGAATTGAGTTTGGTTAATCTGCTTATCTCTAGTTAGTAAATGATTTTAAGTACATTTTATTGAATGCTTTTTTCTACTTCAAACCCAGGTGTGCAACTGGTGAACAGTGGCAGCAGATCATGCTTGCAGCACTGCCAGGGCATCGATGTGACCCAGAGTCTGACATTGAGCCGGGAGAGGAGTATAGCTGCGGAAGCAACCTGGCGTACCTCTATTTCATCAGTTTCTTTGCACTCTGTGCCTTCCTGGTAAGAGATAACACATGCAAAGCATTCGCTTGTAAAGCTTTTGCATTAACCCAAGAAACTGTGATCTGCTCACAAAACTTCAGAAGTTTTGTTTTCGCTTGCAACAGTTTTAAGTTGACTGAAAAAAGTTTTAAGTTAACTCACCGAAATGTTGCATTCCCTAGAAATGTTGTTTTCTCGCAAAAGTTTTGTTCTCTTGCAAAAGTTTTGCATCAACTCGCAAATATTTTGCATTCCCCTGAGGTACTTTGCAAAAAAGTGCATTCACCTGCATTTTTCAAAAAAAAAATTGCGTTACTTGCAAAAGTTTTGAGAGTGAATGCAAATCTGGTAACAGAAATCATATGAGGTGGGAGGAAAAACTACAAAAATGCAAATGAAAAAATCTCTGAAAATAATAAACAATTTTGTTAAGTGATTAATTGATCCAATCTGTGTTTTCTCAGATCATTAACTTGTTCATCGCTGTCATCATGGATAACTTTGAGTATCTGACAAGAGACTGGACTGTGCTGGGCACTCATCACCTCGATGAGTTTAAA